GCGTGTCCGCCCGCCCGACCCGACCCACCCGTTATGCCCGCCCGTTCGACCCGACTCGTTCCTGTTGTCGTTCTCGTTTCCGCCTTCGTTTCCGTTCTCTTGCGCCTTCATTATCGCTCTCGTTTCCGCTTTAGTTGCCGTTCCGGTGGGGAGGAGACTTTGCCAACCGCCTGCTCCGCCAGGGAGTTGCGGAGCGCCGACGGGGCAGTGGCTGCAGCCCAGGCGCTCAAGGTTCACAGCTGCCAGTGGCTGTGAGTTGCCCGACGATAGACGATCTGGCACTCCGCGATAACAGTTCCGCGCGATGTCAGAAACCAATACCGACGTGGACGTTTTGGAATCGCCTGCACGTTCAGTCGCCGCTTCGATGATCGCGTCATCTATTCATTCATTCCTCACGTTCGTGCTGTTTTCGTTCACGCGCGGGTTGCAAGCCATCTTTGGCGAGGAGCGCGAGGGGAATCAAACAATTGCTCCTCGCCTTGGGCGTCCCACACCCGTGTTTCGCTTTCGTTTCCGCCCGCGTTCTCGCATTCGTTCTCGCCTTCGTTCCGCTTTCGTTTCACCTTCGTTTCCGCTCTTGTTCTCGCTTTCGTTCTCGTCTTCGTTTCGTTTCGTTTCGCCCTCGTGTCGCTTTCGTTTCGTTTTTGTTTTCATCCTGCTTCTGCCTTTTTGTTCGCCTTCCTTCGCTTTCGGTTCGCCTTAGTTTCCGATCTGGTTTTCGCTTCCGTCCTCGTCTTCGCTTCGACTTCGTTTCCGCTCCGCTATCGTTCACGCCTTCTTTCTCGCCTTCGTTTCGTCTTTTTCTGTCTTTGTATCCGCCCTCGTTCCCCGCCTTCGTCTCGCCTTCGTTTCGCCTTTTTTGTTCGTGTCGTTTCCGCTCTCGTTTTCGCCTTTGCTCTCGCTTTCGTTTCACCCTCGTTTCGTGCTCGTTCCCGTCTTGTTTCCGTATTCGTTCTCGCGTTAATATCGTTGTGGTTTCCGTTCACGTTCTCGCCTTGTTCTCGCTTTCGTTTGGCCCTCGTTTCCGTTCTCGTTCCCGCCTTCGTTCTCGCCTTCGTTTCGCTTCCGGTCCCGCCCTAACCATGTGCATTTTGCCTGACCGAGCCCCTGGGTCCTACCAAACCAACCGCGTTTTCCCAAACCAAGCGGGTCTTGCCGTACCGAGCCCCCAGGTCTTTCCAAACCAACTGGGTCTTCCCACTCCACGCCCCCAGGTCTTCCCAAACCAACCGGGCCATCCCAAACCAGCCGGGTCTTCATGTGTTTTGGCAGCGGCTTGGCGGGGGAGCGGGGGGGGGACGACGTCTTCCACCAGGCGCCAGGCTGGGAGGAGGAGGACGGGGGAGCGACTCTGGCCAGCCAGGGAAGGGCGGACAAGGGAAGACAGTCCAAGGAGAAAAAACTGAGAGAGCAACAAGAGAAAGAGAGAGAGTGAAGTCCGCTGCCCTTCAAGAGGGCTACACTCCCAATGGACATCGACCACACAAGTGGCACAGGCGATCGTCTCTGCGTGAAAGCTGCTGTAACCGAGCCTCGGGATGCTTCCGCAGCCAGGCTGGAGTGAAAGAAGTGTGGTCCAAGTCATGGTAGGTTTTATTATATCTTTCGCATCCGCTCTCGTTCTCGCCTTCGCTCTCGCCTCAGTTTCGCCCTCGTTTCGTGTTCGCTTGCGTCTCGCTCCCGCTTTCGTTCTCGCCCTTGTTTCGCTTTCGTTCGCTTTGGCTTCCGCTCACGTTCTCGCCTTGTTCTCGCCTTCGTTTCACCTTGGTCCGGCCTTTTTTTTATTCCCTACCTAGGCTCTGCCTAGAAGGGTTCTTATTCTCTTAGCTTAAAGGGGCCGGGCAGTGGAACACGCCGCGGGCGGTTCCCCCAGTCCCCTGGGGGCGGTTCCCCCCAGTCCCCTGGGAGCTTTAGCTTTAGCTTTAGCTTTAGCTTTAGCTTTAGCTTAGCTTTAGCTTAGCTGTAGCTTAGCTGTAGCTTAGCGTTTCGCTTAGCGTTTCGCTTAGCGTTTAGCTTAGCTTTAGCTTAGCTTTAGCTTTAGCTTAGCTTTAGCTTAGCTTTAGCTTAGCTTTAGCTTAGCTTTAGCTTAGCTGTATATTAGCTTTAGCTTAGCTGTTGCTCAGCGTTAGCTTACCTTTAGCTTAGCTTTAGCTTAGCTTTAGCTTAGCTTTAGCTTAGCTTTAGCTTAACTTTAGCTTAGCTGTGGCTTAGATTTAGCTTAGCTTTAGCTTAGCTTTAGCTTAGCTTTAGCTTAGCGTTACTGTTACTACTAATGCTGCTTTCCTAGGGGTTCCAACTCCTAGGTAGGGTCGCACTGGGATAATTTTTCGTTCCCGCCTTCGTTCCCGCCTTCATGTCGCTTCCTGTCCCGGCCGAACCAAGTGGGTCACGCCAAACCAAGCAGGTCTTGCCAAACCAAGTGCCTGGTCTTTCAACAGGGTCCTACCAAAAGCCAAGCCCCAGGGTCCTCCCAAACCAAACGGGTTTCCCCAAAACAACCAGATTTTCCCAAACCAATCGACTCTTCCCAAACCCAAACCCCGGGTCTTCCCAAACCCCCGGGTCTTCAAACCAACCAGGTCTTCCCAAACCAACCAGGTCTTCCCAAACCAACGGGGCTTTTCCAAACCAAACCCCCAGGTCTTCACAGACCAAGTGGGCCTTCCCAAACCAAACGGCCCTTCCAAAACCATACGGGCGCTCCCAAACCAAGCCCCAGGTCGCCCTAACCGAAGGTTTGGTTTGGGAAGACCCGCTTGGTTTGGGAAAGACGCCCCCGCCCCTAGGATGTGGGGCAAGGTGTCAGGATTAGAGTGTCAGGGTGTTACGCTGAGGGTGTTAAGGTGTTAGGGTGCTGATGTGCTAGGGTCTTTGGACCGGCTGTCCAGGGTTTGGGGGATTGCGGGTCGAGTTTTAGGGCAAGTTTGTTTGGATCGTGTCAGGGTGTTTGGGTGCGGATGTGTAGAGTTATGGTGTGGGTGCTAGGTCCGTGTTGGTGACGTCAGGGCGCCAGGGTGTTAGATGTTAGGCTAGGGTTCTAGGGGGTCTGGTTTAGGTTGATAGCGGGTCATGGTTAGGGTATTCGGGTGCGGGCGTTAGGGTGTAGGGTTCAGGGGGTTCATGGTCAGAGTTAGGGTGCTGGGGTTGTGGCTATAGGGTGTTCGGGTTGGGTTCGGTGGTAGGCTTAAGGTTTAGGATTAGGGCTAGGGTGTCAGGTCGTTGGTGCTAGGGTTAGAGCGTTAGCGCGTAACGGTGTTAAGGTTGGCGCACGTAGGGTTAGGGTGCTTGGGTTCGTGTGCTATGGTCTGTGTGTCAGCGCTTAGATTTAGGGTGTTGAGTTTATTGTGTTAGGGTGTTAGGATTTGAGGGGTTACAGTTAGGGTTCGGGTGCTGCGGTTAGGGCGTTTGTGTGTTAGTTTCAGGTTTCGGATGCTAGGGTCGAGGTGCTAGCGCGTTAGGCTGTTAGGGGACAAGGATCAGGGGGCTCACGGTTAGGTTTAAGGTGCTGAGGCTAGGTTGTTAGTTTGTTGAAGAAGGGTGGATGACGACGAGTTCCAGTGCCTAGCATTCAACGCGTTTGCGCGGCGTTTTGTTGAGGACGATCGTCCGAGCCTCGGAAATCAGTCGGTAGGTAGTTTAGCCCGTTATCTGGCTTGCCTGACTTTGCCGCGGGAGGCTCAGAACCTCGAGGGGGGTGTCGGGGTGGGTGTTGAGCCCTGGGAATGCTGGAGGCTGGCGCACCCCAAGTCTCAGGACATCCTGTGGACCTTGACGGGTATGCTGGATACGAAGTGTTGGTTTGGGGGGGACGGGCTGGATCCAGCAGTTGCGCAACCCAGAAGAACGCCTCAGATGTAGTACCGTGGCGCGCTGCCAGGAGTTCAGGAAGCGCGTGATCCAGCAGATGATCTACGCGACAGATGGGATGTGCGCCGCTAGCTCATGTTACATTTACCTACGTTGACACATTGGTATGTAAGTCATTCTAGCGTGGCTAACTGTCACGCCGCCGGGTCCAGACATCACTACACACCTCCATCCGTATCCATAACTATCTGTCTCTCCGCCACTTTAGTGCCACCACGTGTTCATCACAGTTGCCGCACCCACCCACGCACAAACACACGCACACACACACACACATTCACACACACGCACACTCACGCACACACAACATCACGGTTCGATTCATTTCCATACACCAGGGCGCGTGTTTGATTCCGTGAGCGCGCACAGAAGTCTCCAACAGCCAGGTTTGAGCCCCGATGTGGACTATTGGTCGCGTTGTTCATTCACATTATGTCTCGCTCTCCTCCCCTTGTCTTTGTCTTTGCTAGGTGCATGGCAATCACCCCATCACAATCATTCGCATTTGCGTCCGGACATATTCAGCTTACTTTCAGTATGCCCCCGCCCGTATGCGTCCGTACAATGCATGCATGGCCATACGTACACATATGTTTCACACCTTTGCGTGAGAAGCGAATATAAATTTGTAGTCGTCCGTTTCTATATCTGCTGGTCGATCGACCCATCCATCTCTCAAGTCACCATCCCTACCTTTCAACCGTAGCATGAATCAGCAGACACGGTATTGAGGGTAAGGGTCACGACGCGCTTGGGTCATGTTGCCCAGCTGCGGGACTCGAGCGCAAATGGAAAGACGGCCACCGTTGTCGCCGAGCCTTTTCATTGATCCGCCCGCCGCGGGCGCCGTTTTTTCTTACACGTTATGTTCCTACTCTCTTGCACTTTCTGGTGTTTGATTGGCGTATCGCAGAACAAAAAGAACACAAGGCGGGTGGGTAACAGCTGGGTTGCGGGATAAGTCGCAGATGGAATGGGTCGCGCAGTTTATCGCGGGTGGGTCGCAGGTGGTGGGCAGGTGGGTCGCGGGTGGGTCGATGGGGGGGTCGAAATGCATAGTGTAGGATGGCAGCATACAGTATAGCACCCGCTAGCACGTCATGGCATAGCAGCGTACTGTAGCATCCGGTAGCAGGGTACCAGATTCACACAGCATCATCATCATCATCACCATCATCATCGCACGGGCGCGGATTACATTGGCCCAGTATGAGAATTCCTTGGATTTTGTCACGACGATCACCAGCAAAAGTCGACGGAAGTTCAACGAGGCGGAAGACGGCGGAAGGCATGCAGAATACAGCGGAAGTATGTGACGTCCGCGGAATTCTACGGAAGTTGAACAAGGCGGAAGACGGCAGAAGGCTTGCAGAGTACAGCTGAAGTAGATGACGTCTTTTCCGAACCCTCTACCCCCGTAGAAGGCTAGCTGCCGTGGGCCCGGCGGTATCCCGCCAGATTTCGTCCCTTTTTATGATAGGCGTTTAGTTCAGCCCGGGCAAAATCACACCCATCCAAAATAACCGAAACCCAGACCCCGGGTAGTTCACGGATCCCGTTGTGTTGTGATCGGTTCGGCGTACGATGGGGCCCATGAGTTGAAGACTCTTTATTGCTTGTTGCGGAGGGGCCGTCTTGACGCCATCTTCAGACGATGCGGGGTCATCTCAGGGTCGTTTCAGGGTCTCATGGAGGTCATCGTAGGTGGTCGGAGGTCCCAGTGATACCATGGTGGGGCTTGGGCGTCACACGGTCATTGCGCGCACTTGCGAATATTTTACCATGAGATGTTTCAAGGAATTTCCTGTTGGAGCCAAGGCGCATTCGCATCTCATTAACATGCGTCAGTGCATTGGCATCGCAGGGCACGACACAGCAAGTGTATACGGCGAGAAATCTTGCTATGAATGACCCCATGGGCACATCCGTCTTCCACGTTCAACATTCTGGCGATACCTCAAGCGTCTCTTGATCCCTGAGGCCTCTGGGGAAAGGAACTTCCGTGGGCCACCCGCCGGCAGGCCGATGTACCATCCATGCGCAGCATAGCCTGGCACGGCAGGAGAACGGCAGAGCTCAGCACGGAATTTGTTGAGTGGACCCCGCGTTCAAGCCACGAGCACTTGGCCTGAGATGCTTTGCGGCAGGGCGCCTTTCTTCAGCAGTCAGGCAACGCCCCATCAGGCAGAGCCAGACTGGGAGACACAGCAGCTGTCAGCACAGATCGGGAACGGCAGAGCGTAGCACAGGATACCATGGCATGCCATAGCTGGATACGTGGCGGCAACGTACTTGACCAATTGATAGCGTAGAATTCGATGACGTCGCATAGCTGCAGACTTAACTCACGGCACTTCGCAGCATCACCACAGCAGAGTCCATCTTACCGTAGCGTGGCAGAGCTTACTATCCAGTTGCTTGTGGCAAGCCCCTCCGCCGTGCCTGTGCACCAACACAGCAAGACGGGAACTGAGTGCAGGAACAGCATAATTATCACGAATGGTCTGAACCTTGGGGAGGGTCGTAATCTCGATCATGTTTTCATCCGCGCGATTGGGAGGAGGAGGAGGAGGAGGAGGAGGAAGAGGAGGGGAAGGAGGAGGGGGAGGGGGAGGAGGAGGACCACTGCAAACCCAAGACCCATCAATGATGGTGGAGCACCCCCCCAACCAAGCTCCCTCCTCACAGGCCCCTACCAGGATCCATGTCCAATGACGGGAGTGGCCCGTCAGGAGGCAACCGTTGGAAGATCCTGAAGCGTGCCAACACACCATCTTCGACATTTCAACGTAATGAATCAACGTGACTTTTGCATCTTGGCGATTTTGAATCGTGCCAGAACACCATTCTTGGGACGCCAACACCGCGAATCAGCGTAATTGTTGCGCCTGGGCACTACTGAACGGTTCCAGAATGACACTGCTGGTACGCTACCCATGAAAGCCCGTCCATAATATTGAAGTGGTTAAGGCGAAGGTGCGCGGAGTTAAGACGGGAGCCTCATTTTGAAAACAACGCAGTTAATCCTCGGAATTCTGCCATGTGTTGCGACGAGTGCGCGCGGCGCTAAGGCGAGGGCCACATGCTGAAAAGCGCCCGCCTTCAATCCGTGAAACTCTTGCACATGTTGAAGACACGTGTGCGCGAGGCTAAGGCGAGAACCACATGTTGAACGCCACCCGCCCTGCATCCGTGAAACTGTTGCACAGTTCAGCCACTTGTCTCAAGCGAAGCGCCGTGCCTGCTCTTTCGACCAGCCTCGGGGCGTGGCAGGGAGTACATACACTCACACATATATATATATATATATATATATATATATATATACATGTGTGTATAGATACACGCATCAGGACAAGGAGAGGAAGGAGGAGGAGGAGGACGAGGCAGAGGAAGAGGGGGGAAGAGCAGAAGGAGAGGCAGAGAATACAGATGAGGAGGAAGAGGCCTCCTTGGGGCTCTCTTGGGGGCTCCTGGGGGCATCCTGGGGGGCCTCTCGGGGCCCTCTTGGGAGCCTCCTGGGGCCTCTTAGGGCTTTTTGGTATGGCTTCGGGATTTGTTTCGCTCGTCTGACGCCTTCGGAGGCCGTCCTGGTCGGCCGTCTTCGTGCCCTCGGAGCGCTCTATGGCCGTCTTGGGGCCCGCCGACGAGCCTCTAGAGCGATCTTGTTTTTTTGGTATGGGCTGGGTCGCGGCCCTCTTGGGGGCCGCATGGGCTGTTTTGGAGCTATTGTGGAGGCCCGTGGGGCGTCTTGGGCGGCTGGCATGGCAACTCGAACAGGCGAGAACCTCAAAATCCTTAAACAGCTGAAGGCAAATCAATGGTTTGGGCCTGCTCGGGCTCGCCTGGAGGGCCTCTTGGTACCCTCTTGGGCCGTCTTGGGGGGCCCTTGGTTGGGCCGTCTTGGGGCTGGCTTGAGAGCCTGTTGGTACATGTTGTGTCATCTTGAGCTGTTTTGGCACCGTCTTGGTTGTCTTCGAAGCCCTCTTGGAGGCCATCTGGGCCGTCTGGAGGCTGAAAGGTGCGTTGGAAAACAAAAGCACCTCCCATACAACAGACAAGCATTCTAACACGCCCGTTCCGAGCAGGCAAGGTGGCTGATATGATAGCGCAGCACGGCGTAGGCTTGCATAGCATAGCAAGGCATTGCTAGCAAGAAATTAGCGTATTGTGAGACTGTGTACCATGGTCTCGGATGCCGCACCATAACAGGTAACAGCGTCAAAAATGGATCATCATTGCATGCGATTCTCTCTTGCTGATTGCAATATTTTACCGCCTGCGTGCATAACCACAGCGGTGCGTAATGTTACTCTTCATTGAGCAACACCGAGTGGCAACACATCATCGAGTAACATTAAGAGTACAGCATAGCATCATATAACTGTACAGCACCGTTGGGTAGTGTCATTGGGCAGCATAGCATCATCAGTAGCATCGGGTAGATCCCACTAGCATGGCAGATCATTGAGTAGCATCGCGTCGCGTAGATTAGCTTGGCATGGCGTACCATAGCATTGCACTACATGTCGCGGTGTCGCGTCTCACAGTGAGTGGGTGAACCCTGAGGTACCGATACCGCTACTCCCCGGACCTCTCCGGGGTCGATCCAGCCGTGTCGAATCCAGCGAATCCAGCCGCGTCGACGAGGGCCTCCCCGGAGGCCCCAAAATGGGAAAACGGGGGAAGGGCAGCCGCATGGGTTCCTCTTCCCCCTCCGACACGCGGCCGTGCAGCCAGGCATAGCACGGCACAGGCAGCCCACAGCGCATCCTCATCGTACAGAGCAGCAGGGCCCCCCCGTCGTGGCAGCGCAGGAGGCGCGGCGGAGCCCGAGCAGAGCAGCAGAGGGCCCCTGAAGACTCGGCGCCCGCGGAGGCAGCGGGCCCAGGAGCCGCGAAGATGCGGCCGTGCCGCGCCGTGGCGCTCGGGGTGTCCCCCCCAGGGGATTCCACAGGCATTCCTCTGTGATCGTTCTCTGTTCCATCGGTTTGCCGAGCGGCGCGGGACCTCGCACCCCTCACTACCCTCCCCCCAACTGGATTGGAGCTTGGCTGTGTTTGGCGCCTCTTTCAAACAGGTGGAGTCTCCCCCACAGGACGCACTGCTGCAAGCAGTCGCATGAAGCAGATGTCCAGAGCCAGCCCCTCACCCCCCCTGCTTCCCCCCCCCCCTTCCGCCCAGTGTCGAAACGCCGAACAAGAAACGTTCACCAGGGATTCCACAGTGCCCTGGGATTCCTCTGGCTTCCTGAGGCAGCACGGGGCGTTCCAGCGAGGACCATGCCTTCGGCTCGGCGTCACCGTCTTCGGGGTTGGGACGGCGGCGGGCCCGCAGGCGGAAGGCAGGCGGACGGCAGGCGGAAGGTGGCGGAAGCGACAGCGCGACGCCAACAGGTTTGGGTTCAGGACTTCCATTGCAGGTTGTCCCTGGAAGGGGGGTTCGGATTCTGTGTTTCGGGTGCCAGACGTCGGAAGTGGGATGGGACTGCTTAGACGCGCTGCTGCGGTCGACATAGTGCTACGCTGGGCTCTGTGTTCTAGACACTAGGTAATGCGAGGGTAGTTGGAGCCGAGAGGTAGCTTAGCTTGATGCCCCCAAAAAGGGGCTTCCACTGCAAGCCACGTGGATGAATGGATGTCTCGCGCAGCCATGCTGACTAAATCATACGTTTATATGTCGTGGTGGCACTCGCGCTGGCACGACCACAGTTGGCGCATACACCGTGAAGTACCCATCATCATGATGCGTATTGGGAGGCAGGTTGCATGATGTAAGTCTTGTAGGCAGTTGTTATGTTCTCGCTGTGACGTTGCACTTGTACCGCCTTATGTATGTATTGCTAGACCAAGCGTGTGAGCTTATTTTGACATCGCGGTTGGGAACTAAGTGAATCGGACAAGCTTGCACTTGGCGATGTTCCGTGGACTGGGACGACTGGAGGGCGAGGCAGGTTTCGGTTTGATAATACAGTCGGCCTTGCGTTCTCACACCTTGAAAGTGCCATGCGAGTTCCGGGCGACTCAGTTACGACCCCGAGCAGCTAGAAGAGTTGCTGGCAGTGCTGCAGGTCGACTCGCGCTTGACACGGTACTTGTCCTTATTGGAGAGATCTGCGATCAGAGCAGAGGACAGCAATTGTGTGGTGTTGCCGTTTTCTGATCTTGAATCAGTCCATCGCGGGGACGGTGAGGCGCATGTGCTGTAAGCGTTTAGACTTGGTGAGTAGACAGTCCAAATTGCACTGCACTCAGACCCCAGCAGGCGGCAGGCGGCTGAGCCGAACAATACCACGCCAGCGTCCCTTCATCCCGCGTGTGCCGTCCGCTGGCACTGCATCATATTTCCAGCAGTCTGAGCACACACGTACGAGAATGGCTCACACCATGATGTTGAGTTGATGTCCTCTGTAGATGTCAGAACATAACTGGCTCCAGGCGATTTGCTCTACCGGTGGGGACGACAAGGCATGGCCCATTCCGATCCAATATATCTGGTTCGATGCCGATGCTTGCTGGTTCGATCCGAATCGATTCCGATGTTCCGTCGATCCGATGTGGTCGGATCTTTGCATGGCGTTGTTGTGCATATTGTGGCGGTTGATTCGATTCGAGTTCGATTCCATGGCGATGCCACCTGATTCGATCTATGTTCCGATCTGATTTCCAGGCTCCACGCCGACTGATCTTGCAGGGAGGCGTCTGGTCCATCTCACAGAATGATTTGTTGGCACGGATGTTATTGGGGGGCGATCTTAGTGTTTCGTAGTTGTTTTGTGAGTACTCCAGACCAAAAGCCAGCTACATCAAAATTAATGTGCTCGGGGTGATTCCAAACAGGGAGCTGATACACATGGCTTCGAAGTTTGTCGTGTGTGGCTCTACAGTGTCATTTGCGCATGGCTGCATGTTGGTGTATGTGGGATGTGTGCGCGCTACAGCCTCGGAACGGTTTCCCCATGCTTCCCCCGAACGCCGCCACACACGCCCATTCCGTTGCACAGACTGTTGGGAATGCCCACAGCCATGCCGCTTGCTGTCTCATAGCGCAGTCGTGTTACATTCGCACCAGAACGGTTATTCATGGCACCGTGCCATCATTTCGGTTTGTACACGCGCACCACGATTTGTGCTAATCAACCTGTCAGTCTCGAAGGAACCGTGACACATCGCACTGTGTGTTGAGACCGCATGGCGACAAGAAGCCGTACAGACGTTCGCTGATTTCTGTTCCGCGAGTCTCGTAAAGGTTTCTTTGGGGCCAGCCAAACCAGGCAATTGGTGAGGGCGTCTCAAGCGACACGGGACCCAAACCAGGCCAAACCAGGGCGCAACCAAGCAAATCTTGAGGACGTCTCAGGCGAAATTGAACTTAAGCCAGGCCAGCCAAGCCAAACCACGCAAATCTTGAAGACCTTTCAGGCGAAGTCGGGCCAGGCCAAACCAGGGACCAAACCAGGCAAATCTCTAGGATGCCCCAGGCGGGGCGCGCGGCCAAGTCAGGCCAAACCAGGCCAAACCAGGGGCCAAACCAGGCAGAATTTGAGGACGTCCCAGGCAGAATCGCCCAAACCAGGCTCCATCCATTATTCTGAATAAAATTCCAATTAAAGGAGTGGATCACCCCAGGGCCACCCCCGCAGGCGGAATCCCTTTTTACATTTTCTGGGGGGCACGTTTGGATCGCTAGCCCGCTGATGCGGACGGTGTTGAGCGCAAAAGTTCCCCAATCAGAGCTTGCCTCTGTAGGGGTCCTAGCGGATTCATACGGTTAGGTTAGGTTTGCCGCCGATTTTCGCGGCACGCCCGGGTGCCCGGGTGCCCGGGGGTGCCCAGGTGCCCAGGTGCCCGGGTGCCCGGGCGTGCCCGGGGGTGCCCGGGTGCCCGCCTGGTAGCCCCATAGCCTTATAACCCTAGAGTTTTATAGCCTTATAGCCCTATAGCCCTGTAGCCCTCTAGCCCTATAGCCCCAATAGCTTTATAACCCTATAGCCCTAATAGCTCCATAGCGTTGTCCCCTTATAACCCTATAGCCCTATAGTCCTACAGCTCTCTAGCCCTCTAGCCCTATAGCCCTATAGCCCTATAGCCTTGTAGCCCTATAGCCCCATAGCCCTTTAGCCCCACAGCCCTATATTATTTAAAAAGATTATGATTGGGTTTTCTCTCTGGTATCATTCTCCGGTATCATATGGTTAGGTTAGGTTTGCCGCCGATTTTCGCTGCACGCCCGGGTGCCCGGGTGCCCGGGGGTGCCCGGGTGCTCGGGTGCCCGGGTGCCCGGGCGTGCCGGGGGGTGCCCGGGTGCCCGGGTGCCTGAGTGCCCGGGCGTGCCCGGGGGTGCTTGGGGGTGCTGGGGGGTGCCCCATAGCCCAATAGTCCTATAGCCCTACAATTAACTCTATAGCCCTATAGCTCTGTAGCCCAAAAGCTCAATAGCCCTATAGCCCTATAGCCCCCTAGCCCTATAGCCCTGATTGGGGTTTTTCTCCGGTATCATTTGTCTTTCGGGTTTGGGGGGCTCTGGCGTGGCGTTATGAGAAATACGTCCGAGCATGACCAGCATCGGAAAGGCTTTCTCCGAACGACGCCAGGCACGCCCATGCCGATCCACAGCCTGTTGGGAATACCCACATCCATGCCGCCCGCCATGTTGTAGCGCAGTGGCTTCACATGTGCATCACAAGGGTCATAAGCCGTACAGGCATTCGCTGGTTTTTCGTTACGCCAGCTCCGTGAAGACTTTTTGGGGCTGGCCAAACCCGGCAACTTGCGAGGCCGTCTCAAGCGAAATGGGGCCCAAACCAGGCCAAACCAGGGTGGAACCAAACAAATTCTGAGGGCATCTCAAGCGAAGCAGGGCCCCCACCAGGCCAAACCACGCCACACCATGCAAACATTGAGGAGGACGGTTTCACACAAAACTGGACCGAAACCATTCCAAATCAGGGGCCGCACCAGGCAAATCTTAGACGCTTCGCGTAATCCAACATCCACTAAAAACTCTCAAATCCCAAGTTTGGAACCCTGCAACGTCCCCTGGGGCACTTACAGATCGGCGATGTGACCTCTCCTGGGGTACCTACAGGTTCGTTTCTCGGCCCGTGGAAGTGCTACAGAGAGCGAGGGTGGGGTAGAGAAACATACAGAGAGAGTGGAGAGATGGAGAGATAGAGAGAGAGAGAGAGACAACAAACATATACAGAGCGAGAGAGAGAGAGAGACAGAGAGAGAGAGAGAGATGAGAGAGATAAAGCGACAGAGAGGGATGAAAGTAGAGAGCGAGAGAGAGAGAGAGAAAGCGAATGAGAGAGAAGAAGAGCGAGAGAGGATATAGGAATGGAGACTGAGAAAGGGCGGCAGTGAGAGAGAGAGAGAGAGTGTGAGAGAGGGCCCTACAAGCTTGGCCCGACAATGATCTTCAAGTTTGGCCCGAACACGCTCGTCATGTTAAACAACACTGAGTACATTAGTAAAGAGAGAGAGGGAGAGAGAGAGAAGAGAGAGAGACAGAGAGAGAGAGAGAGAGAGAAAAAAAAAAAAAAAAAAAACAGAGGGGGGGAAAGAGAGAGAGCGAGAGGAAGACACAGAAAGAGAGAGAGAGAGAGAGACATAAACAAAGAGATAGAGAAGGAGGTGGAGAGGCGGAGGAAGTGGAAAAGGGGGAGGGAGAGGACGAGGACGAGGAGGCGGAGGAGGAGGAGGAGGAGGAGCGAGGGAGATCAGAGGAGGGCCATTTTTTATCTCACTACGAAAACGCGCGCGATCGTCCTGCCGCGCGCGGATGCCGCGCGAGAGACGTAAAATTTGGCAGCCATTGCAGCCTCTCCAGCCGTCCCGGTTAGCCGTTCCAGGCGATCCTTCCACGCAGCTCTGCGGCGTGGTCTTGCCGCAGCTGCTCTACTTCCGCACTCTGCGCCGTGCTGCTTCCGCCCTCGGGCGGCCCGTTTCCGCCCTCAGGCGGCCTGCTTCCGTTTTGGCCTCTTCCTTCTGCCGATCATACCTTGCCTCCACCTCCTTCGGACGCTGCTCATACTTGGCCTCAAGAGCTGCTTGGTCTTGTTGGCGCTGTCGCTCGGTTCGGCCGAGTTGGGCCAAGACCGCAGCGGGGTCGGGCATCTTCGTGGAGGCCGCCACTGCGGGCTGTGTCGCCGTTGCTTGCACCACGTAGCCGCCATCCCCGAGTAGTCCACGCGAGCGCTGCCCCCACTGGTCCCTGAACATCGGTGGAGAGCTCAGGGCAGGCGGCAATTCGCACCAGGGCTGTTGGACTGCGCGCGGCCAGGAGTGGCTGGCGGCGACCGCGGCTCGCCATGCCCAGGCGGCGATTTGCTGATGAGGTTGGTGCGCGCCTCCAACGACCCATGGGCATTGGCCGACGAGGCAGCCACTGCGACCATGGCGTGCGTGTTCGCCACGGCGCCCTGTCCAGGCTGGACTGCGGGCGCCTCTTGGGCTGCGGACGCCGACGTCACAAGCAAAGGTGCAGGCTGCTCAGAGGGCGGCGGGGGCAGCCACTCGAAGCGGCGACCACCGCCTGGAGCGGGGCCGTGCTGGAGCTGAGCTGCGGGAGTTGCTGGTTATGCGATGAGCTGCAGCTGGAGCTGGTGCTGGCGTTGCCGCTGCTGCTCCTGGGGCTGCTGCTCGGGCTGCTTCTGGAGCTGTTGCTGCGGGAGCTGCTCTGCGGGCGGGCTGCGGCTGCGACGACTGCTGCTGCTGGGGCGGCTGCTGGCCCTGGTGCTGCTGTTGCTGCCGCAGGGACACAGCGGGCAGCTGTTGCTGCTGTTGCTGGGGCGGCGGTTGCGCTGGGGCAATTGCTGAGCCTGCTCCATCTGGTGAGCTTGCTCTTGCTGCTGGGACCCCTGTGGTGCTCTGCCTCGCTGCCAGCTTCCTCTGGGTGCCTCCAGCCTCTGGTGGCCCTGGGCGGCTTCCACCTGTGCCTCGCCTCCTGTGCTTTTCAGAACGTGGTCGACCTCCTGTGGCTCGCTTCGCGGCTCCTGCGGCCGCACCGCCCCATGTCCCCATGCCCCCGCACTGCCCGTCAGCCTTCCCTCCTCCCGCGCGGCCACTCCCACCGAGCCAAGCCTCCCGCCTAGCGCCCCCCCCACCACCACTCACGCAGACGAGCGCC